GAAAGAAAAAGAAACAACTCACAAACAAACAAAAAACCAACCCCAAAATCCCACACCAGGAAAAGCACTCCGAATTAATTACCTTCTGGAAAAAATGCCACCAAAACCCATCAGAGGGCTCAGGCTCCTCAGCAGAGCTGCAGGGGAAGGTGGCATACTGCAGCCACCACTATGGAGGAGCAAACAGCCCACAGGTTGTTGTGCTGTGCCCCTGTGGTTAGCAGGCCCCACAACAAGCTGTGTTACTTGCTCTGGAGCCCACGCAGGGCTGGACTATGTGGCAGAGGCCCTTCTGTGAAACACTGGCTGTGGTAGCACCAGCCCCCAGCTGCCATTGCTGCAGCTGGTCAGGGCTGTGCAGGGGGCTGGACTGTGCTGCCCGGCCCCATAGAAGTGATAGTGGTATTTGAACAGCTGGTTAAACACACTGATCTCTTCTGAGGCTCCCGATAAACGTGGCTGTTGGTGTCGCCACCAGTCACCAGAGAGCCACTGTCTCAACCCCCCGAGGTGTGGCTCAAGGGGAAGCAGGTACCCTTGCTTGGTAGGCAAAAATAAGCCATTTCCAACTCTCAGCTCACCCAAACCGCCACCTGCAGCACCAGCACAAGACCAAGGTATAAACCTCCCAGTGTACAAGGGGCCCCCCAGCCCAGTGAGGGCAGCTCCTAGCAAGGGGAAGCGGCCCCGCTGCCAGCAGCTGTATGGGGTGACCAAGGCTCGTGCAATGCTGTGCAGTGCTCTCTAGCACTGTGTTTTGGGCCATGACCCTCCTCACACCTCAGGCCCACCATGGGTTACCCCCCAGGGTGGAGGGAGGTGGCTGTCCTCTCTGGCAACACTAACATGGCAGCCGTCACCTGGACCCTCATACAGCTGCAGCCGCCAGTTTGAATACACCACCCCAGCAAAGTGAGGGATGACAGCCTGCAAGTGCACCAGAAGGCCACACAGCTCAGAGGGCAACACAGCCCCTGCACTGAAGGGTTAATGCTAATGAAAGAAAATCTGGGCAGAAAACAGGCATGAATAAATTTAGCCAGGGCTTTGATAACTTTCAGAGTAGTGCGGGTACAGTTACCCTTTCATTCAAAGCCACGTGGGGTAGAAAACCTAAACCCCTTCAGGGCAGGGTTCAGGAGGTCTCTGAAGACATTTGTCATCATAAGCCACATGACACAGAAGGAGATTGGACTCCATGACCCCACAGTTTCTGCTAATCCTACACCATACAGTGAGAAAGAGAAATGGTTTCTAACATTGTTTTCAGTGGGCTGAAAGGAATAGATACAGATAATCAGGAAGGGCTTCTGATATCTACCTGAGCTAACACTCAGGTACCTGCTTTGGCAATGGTTCCTGCTTGTACCTGGAAAAACTTCAACTACTGACCTTACCCAGGGTCATGCAGTTATCCTGCTCTTGAAGACAATATGCTGGACTTCTGATATTCCATATTTCACAGATGGGTGGCTTTGGTAAGTTCACAGCAGACTAAAATAGAGAGAACTGGGCACAATACCAAAGAATTTTGCTCTGCTTTTATTGTAAGACTGTCCTTCATCTTACAAGCCAGTGCTACCCCTTTCATTCACAAGAGATGTTTTATTCAATTGATTACAAGTCAGGATTAGATCCCACTGTTCGAAGATCAAGCTGTGATGCTTGATAATGATAATTTAATGATATTTTAAGGTCAGTCTAAATTAATGCATGCATTCATTAATCCATATGTCATTAAGTTTAGATTTTCAGATGTTCCCATCTGTGGGTGAGCTACAGAACATGGTAATGAAAAAACGCAGTGGAAACAACAGCTAGGCAATGCAGGTCTCCAAGGACAGGCCAAGCAACACAGGGCTCCAAGGACAGGTCCCAGCATGTTGCTTGCTCTTTTCCGTGTCACTAATGCATTAGACACTGTGTGCAAGGAACACTGATTCATGCACAGCGAGTATGTTTGACAGAGAAAGGCTGCATAACACCTCGAGAACAATGTTAAACAAGCACCCTTTTGTGTGTTGTATAAGGAACAGTTGACTCTGAAGAGTCACTGAGAATAAGGTCCAGAGCCCCCAGTCTCCTGCCCCTGCCATAACCAAAGTCCTTCTTTCCTTCCCAGTTACTTGGCTATGATCACACCAATAAAGAAGATAACGTAATCACTTCTGCAGAGCCCTTCCCTTTCCCTGAGAGCACTGCTGGCTGTTTCACACACACATGCAGCCACAGCACGGTTCAGTGTAACCCTGACATGCCTTGGTGGGCTGTCACCACCAGTGCTATTCCAGAGGGACAGCAGCGAGTACTGCTCCTGAAACAGCAGCCCCTATCAACTCTTACTATTCCTCACCTTTTGGACAGAACAAACCCACCACCTGGCCTCCCCCACTAACAATGATTCTAAAGCCCCAAAACTATACCACATCTTAATAGCCTCATAGCAAGCCTGGTGCAGGACACGCAAGATTCAGTGGTAACACTCACCTCCAGCAGCCCCCAGCATCAACTGCAACAAAGAAACAGTTACAGCATCCCAGGCAGACACCCCAGACCTGTGGGTAGTCTTTACCTCACCTCCATCAAGCCTCTTGACAGCAGCTGGGTGTCCCTTTTCAGATCTCTCAGCTGTACACGATGCGGCAGGATGCAATGGGAGGAGCAAGGAAGATTGCTTGTTCACGTGGACCTGCTGTGTTTGCAGGCAAGAGCAGCTTCAGGATTCTTGTCACAGCACCTTTCACCAGCACCAGAGACATTAATCCACCTTGAAGGGTAATGCTATACCTGTATGAACTACTGGTTACCTTCCTGTTGTACATAAGCAGAGAGTTTAATTCTCCACACTCTCAAAGAAGCTCATCTCTGCACAGTTGCCAACTGTGCTGTTCTCATCTCCTGCATTCGCCCACGGAAGGCAGATGAATGAAATTCAGAGTAAGCCTGACATGCTGACAGTCCTATCACTCCTGCCCCAGCAGTAAGGCACTCAAGGAAACACATGTAAGAAAGGTGCTCCTTCCTCCCCAGACTACCCATTTTCTCTTGTTTTTGGTGTTGTCTACTACTACCCACACCGAACTACATCAAACTGGCAGTAGAAATTCAGAGACCGTTTTGCCATCCAACCCAGCCTGTACATGCCATCTCTTCTAGAAGCACAAGACAGGGAGCGCTTTCCAAGGCAGTGCAGGTGTGCCAGGATCAAGATTTTACAACATTTCTTCCTTAAAGCCTCAATTTTCTAATTGGGTCAACATAAATATAAAGGTCCTCCTGCACAGCAAACCTACACCTGCTTTCACTTACAACACTCTGCATCAGTGAGCAATCTTCACCCTCAGTGGGCCAGTCTGCACTAGAACTATGGAGTGTTTCTGAACTGCTCAGCAATTAAGGATCCTTCATGCAGGACACTTGCAGAGAGTTCTGCAAAACTATACAAACCCGCCTGCAATTACCAGCTTCTTGAAAACTTGCTTCTTTTTGCATGTTTTCACCTGTATTACTTTTAACTCGTTGTAACAACAGTGCTCAGACCAACCTGCAGCAGCAGCACTGTGGATTAGCAAGGTATCAAAACACAAAACAAACACTGGCTACACAGGGTATGTCAGGATAATTTTATTTAATAAAAATAGTTATACAATTAGAAACAACAATGTCAACATGTTTACAGTATTTTGTAGGCATCAGTAACTGTGTAAAGCTCCAGTCAGGCTCTAATAGTCACCTCATCACCACAGCAACAGCACAGGAACCTGAACAACGTCCAGGTGTGGCTTCCACACATTAACAGGCCTGAAGACATACACAGCACAACATGCCTCTCTATTGAAGTTGCCAGTTTCATTGCTTTGGTAGAAAAATCACTGTTATTGCTGTAGTTCATTAGTTAATTTTTGAGTTGCCTTTAAAGAGTTTTGTTCTCTGTATGAAAAACTTCATTGAAATTGACTGCTTCTTTTGGTCACTTGACACGAGTGCTGTATACCCATTCCTCGTGCCTTGCTGCAACTGTCATCAGGCCAAGGAACTCAAAGGACAGGATATGCACATACTGCCCCTTCCCAGGACAGCTCACCAGCTAGAATTTCAGATTTTATTTTAAAAACAAAAAATGGTAAAGAAAGGAATATATACATGGGTGGCTTCAAGTTTCAATTTCAGGATAAGGCAGTTATGCTTACATGTGTAAATGCCAGTACAGCCAAACCCCTCTTTAGAGGGTTGCTTTAGGAAGCAGGCTGCAAACAGGGGGAAGCTTTGGGGAGTGGGTTCCCCTAAGCAGCAGGCCTGAAAGGCCTCCCCAGACCCCAAGCAGCACATTCTAACCATATTAATCATGCACCTGGCATGGTAAAGGGTGAGGCTCACAAAAGTGTTAAGAAAGGCTGTATGTGTCCCAGCCAGGGGTGAAACACCTTCCCAACCCCAACATGAAGTCTCCATGGCATTTAAAGCAATCGATGAACCAAAGCTGCTTCTTTGGGCTCTGACTGGAAAAAGCTCTAAGCAGCACACAGGGAGAAGGCATGGAGAGAAGCACACTGCATTGCATCTTCTCCTTTGCCAGTTATCCTTTACACGTAAACTTGCCATGTCCTGAACAGCAACAGGGACATTCCACAGGCCATTTCCACAGTATACTAGAGATATCTGTTGCTTTGCTGCTCATGGTGCCTGAGTATCCAGGTGCCCAAGCCCAAGACAACTCTGTGCAACTCATTCCCAGTGATAAAGCAATTTGGAAGAATAAATTAGTTTTAAAAACCAGGTATGAGGCAAGTTCCAAATTGCTTAGACTAGACAAAATAAAGGAACTGCCCACTCCAAACATTCATAGTCCTGCTTAGGTGGAAAAAAAAAGAGGTAGGACTTGTGGACAGTGACCCACAAGAAGCACAAAGGCATTTTAAAATAAGGGATAAACCCCAGAAATTAGCATTTTTTAATGCCTCAGGCAGTCATCCAGGTAACTATCATAACTGAAGGTCACCAGAGTTAAGAATTCTCCAGTGTCATAAAGCACAGCTGAAAACCCAGCAAGACACCTTCCTTCTCAGTGCTACATCCCATTGAAACAGCTCAGCCTCCAGGGTAGTGAGGCAGTGACTCCTCTAATCACAAGAATCTGTGGTTCTAAAGGCCAGAGGCAAAAATGTCAAGGGAGCCTTGGATCAGCTTTTTGCCTACTTAACTCCCTTTAAGCTTCCCCTCCAGCTTTACAGTCCCTGGGGCAGAGGCCTTCATGACACAAGCAGCGCTCCTAATAGCCAATTCACCAATGTCACATATTACCTTGGGACTGTTAAGTTTTTGAGGAAGCACCATGATCAGCTCTGGCAGCTGGGGTGACAGACAGGAACCGTATAAGCAACTCATGGAAGAATGTGCATATGCAAAAACATAAGCGTACTAGTCCTCAAAACAGAGCACCCAGCATCATGGGACAGCCACAGCAAGAGCTACACTGCAGAGTACAGGCTCAACGCCAGCTCGTGTTCCAGGGCTGGGGCTCTCCACAGAGAGGTCTGTTAGTGTGCTCCCACTTCTACCCCACAGCAGCACCTCAGTGACAGAGAGCAGCAGCTGACTAGACAATCATGAAGCTGCTTTTTCAATGGCAGCTTCCAGATGCATAGCCTTAGATTAAAACCTCCCAAGGCTTTCACTCTTTGAGAGAACTTACTGTTCTTTGCTGCACATCCATAGATGCAACAGAAGAACAAAAGGCATTTTAGAAAGATATTTGTTCTTACTCACGTAAGAGCTAATACATTTACCTTCTAAAATGTGCTACTAATATAGTATAAATATAGATCAAATACCATTCAGATGACTGCCTTGGAAGAAAAGGCAAAGATTAAAAAACAGACCTATATCTTCATATGTAGCCACCAAGAGTCTTCACCTGGTGCTCTACTGGCTTTCAGGAGATCTGCTCTGAATCTGCTCTTGTCTTCTGTAAGCTCTTATAATACTGTATATGCCACTGCCCAAGAACACCAGGGAGATGGCCGCAAAGTAAGAGGCATAAATCATGAACTGCAGAGGAGAGGAAAGAAAATAAAAAAAAAGCAGTTAAACCAAGCAGTTATCAAATTTGTTACATGAGCTCCCTTTCTCTTCTAAAATACCAGGAATCTGTAAATATTTCTCTGTCAAACCCCTGACCCAAAAAAAGGTAGCCAAGAAACTTTGCAGTTTAGTTTACCTCCCTCCCTCCCACCAGTAAAGCTAAAAGGGTCCATCATACCTGGGTGAAGATGTCCAGCCCAAGCCCACTGGAATCTACAACAACCAAAGTGAGCAGAGTCTGAAGTGTTAAGGCAATGAAAGTGTTGACTCCAAATACCAGGGCATACCGCTCCACACTGAGATTCGTAGCGATCTGGAACCTGAAAAGACAGGAAACGTAAGGACAGGGAAAAAGCAGGGAAATACAAGAATGGGAGGAACATCTCTGTACAAGAGGACTGTGCAACCTGAAACATTACACAAACTGGTCCAGTATTTTCCACAGCTAAATTACCTTGCACTGACAGTGTACTTTTCTAAGTAGGATCATAACACACTAGCACAGAAGCTAGAAGAGACCCACAGACACAGGAAAAAGCTTAAAAAAAACACCCCAAAAAATAAACACTAATCCCAAAACCAAAATACCCCTTTGGGAGCTCTGCAGGTTTCAGTCTCACTGAAGCAGCCCTCTTGTCCATTGCAGCTGAAGGGTCTGGCTAGCAGAAAAGAAAACCGTGCTCTGATCCCAGAGAGCTGGTGGCAGTCTCGAAGCACTAACCTACTGTAGCATAGTCCATAGCTTCCTACATCCTTATAACCAGCACTTTTTGCAGTGACCAGTTTCAGCATCAATCTTCGTATTGTGCTTGAGCTGTCTTCTGGCAATTATGCATGGGTAGTTCAACAACTGTGTGTTCCTCCCCATAGTGACATTGAAGTTTTCCTCCTCACCAGTTAGAGAAAGTTGATACTTCAGCACAGGCAAAGCATTGTTCTCTTCTCAGCTGTTAAGATTTCACTCCAGCCATGTTTATGAAAAACATTTCTCTGTCAAGCAGCACTATCTCACATTTAGCAGTAGCCACTTTAGTATCATAAGACTTTAAAGCTTGAGCAGACTGCCAGCCAAATATATCTGCACACCTCAGTTTCTGACCTGAACTACGACAAATTTCCCTTTCCAAATTCCTGGTAGGTGAGACTCTAATTACACAGAAAATATGCCAGCTTTCAAACCAGCTGTAACCTTGAGAGCAATCTGCATTAAAAAGATACTCACGTTGCTGTCGTAATTAGCAGCATGTAGATAATTCTGAAGACAACATAGGATGCATAGCACACCCAGATGTTACGAACAGTGTCCATGATATATACAGCAGCAGCAATAAGAAAGGAGAACAGGGCAAGTGCTACTTCACCCCACATTGCCCAAGACATTTTTATGTGACCCACAACAAAAACTGCAACAGCTCCTGTGAGGGGAAGGAAAACACAGCCGTTAGTAATTGCAACTAGAGCAGTTTGAAGACAATATGTTAGTGCTACCCTGAAAGTCTGTCCAAGAGCCTAAGACTCAGTTTGGAGTTTTAGGAAGCCAGCATTCTTTATTGCAGCGTGGGGCGCACATGCAAATAGTTTCACAAAGGTGAGCACACCTGTTACTTGCTAGCAGCAGCTCTGTATTCAGCATACTCATGCATATTTACAGCTTTTCCAGGAAATGATTTACATATTCATGAGATCTCCATGAGCTAATTATCATATTTGCATCCTAATTAAGCATGCGCTTTCTTGCTGAGTTGGGGTCTCTGGTGGTCGCAGTCTTCCACACTGTGTTTGCTGAATGACCTCAGTGCCTGTGCATGCTCGCAAGGTCCTAGTGCTGAGTTAGCAGTTCCTATGTCTTTGCTTCTGTTCTGTTCCCAGTGTCACTCCACATTGGGCAGCACTCTGCTATCTTGAAGGCTTACATCCTTGGTCTTATTTACTGTCTCCTTGGTTGTTATCAGTCCTGAGATGTTCCTTCCTCTGTCAGCTGAACATTCCTTTCTCACTACATGTTAGCAAGTTAGAACAGTTTGCTGTATTCTACTATGTTAGTTTAAAGACACATGCACTATTGTTAGTTTAAACCGACAATTTAGGCCTACATTGCCCCCTTTGAGACTTACGGATAATATATCCTGTAAGTCTCATTCTATACCCATTACCCATATTTGATTCTAATATACCATTGTGACCAGCAACCACAAAAGTGAATCATGAAACATGCAAGGGTACAGACATAAATTATTACTATAATGATCACAAACAAGTTTTTTCCTTGCAAAGACATATCACTAGGAACAAAAGGCAGTTGGTAAGGCTACCCGTACATCAGCTCATATGGACTCACATGATTCCTTCCTGGCTGTATTCATATCCTTAACAAAGCAATTGGTAGGGCTTGTAACCAAGTTAAAGAAGTTTCTTGACATATTTTACTTAATTGTAACTTGAGTGTCTGATTCATACGTTCCACTTTCCCATTAGCATGAGGTCTATATAGGGTATACAGATCCCACTTGATTCCCAAACACTCTCTCACCTTCCTAACTACTGCAACAAACTGCAGACCTCTGTCTGAGGACAAGCCTGCTGGTACATGACATCAGGGTATTATCTGATTCAATCACAAGCCATGTTGGTGCAACAAGGAAAAGCCTGCAGCCAACCAGAAAACGTATCTATTAGTACCAATATATATATGTGTATACATATATACTGGGGTGTGGGTATGTATACACACACACACACACACACACACACACACACACACACACCTGAGCCTGTTACGCTGCGGCAATTCTGTAAACACCACTTACCAATAGTGTCCTGGACAATTGCCTTTGTTGTTCCAGGTGGGGGTCTCTTAGCATGGTAAACAAGGCTCACACTTCTTTATAACATTTAAAAACTTGGGCCTCCATGGCCTTTTCATCAGGAATATGTATCTGAATTTTCTTTCTTTAAACCTAATTTACTCAGTATATCTCTATCCAATAACAGCACGGGGCACTCAAGCATGTAAGGAAATCTATGGGTCAACATCTGATGGCCAATTTTAAAATTTAAAGGTTGGAAGAAAGGCCAGGTTCCTGTCCACCCTGTGGCACCAATGACCGAAGCTGTCTGTTTGCTTCATTACCCTTTACAAGTATTTATAAGTAGCTTCTGTTTCTACAAGAAATTTTATCTTATTCCCCAACCTAACTGTAGCCAGGGGCTCTGTTGGGGAGGGTTTTGAGCCCAGATCAATAGTAGTATATTAACACATTGCCTCTTTTAATCTTTCCACAAATCCAGAGGCTGATTAATTTGTATCTTGCTTTACTTCATATAGGTTAGACCAGTTCACTGCCTTGGTGACTTCATTCTTAATATTGAATAAAATCTAACTCTGATATTGTTTCAAAGCTTGCCTATCCTGGTCCCAATTAGGGTCCCAGTCAGGATCAGCAGTGGGTATATGAAGATTTACTATACCTGCCAATATGCCTGCCGTTATTGGTTGCTCTAATGGGGTCCAAGCCATATGAGTAATCATATTCCTGTCAACACTCTCAAAAACATGATGCATAATTACCCACCACTTCTTTCCAAATACTCAAATCTCAATGGTAAAGGGAGTTTTTATTGTGACCAGACCATCACTGCCCACAGCTTGTCTTAAAGGTGCAGTCAGAGTTTCCCCTTGTTTTCCCCTAGTTTACCCTGTTATAGGACTAAATCCTTCAGGCCCCTCTAACATCTCCTGTGCCTGTGCTTGTGCTACATTCTCAGTATCAGCACCTTCAGGCCCATTATTCACAACACCCCTTCTCCAAGGGGGCTACCATCAAATCCAAATCCTCCTCTGCATTCCTCAGAAGTTTAGTGTGTAACTGTCTTATGCTGCACAAACAGCAACAGCATTTAAGTGAATTTTGCTATCTTTCTCCAAGGACAATACTAACAGGTCCTGGAGTGCAAGATTAAAACTACAATCCTTTTGCCATTCCAGATGATTTCTCAAAGTGAACAACATTTCCGCATAAGCTACTTCATTGCACTTTCCTTCTCATCTCAAGAGTAACATCAGTTGTAACAAAGTATTATAATTAATTGTGCTGTTCACAGGCCACTTTTCCCCAAAATCCAGTTTATACAATGGCCACCACTCCAAATTGAGTCTCAAGACAGAATCTAACTTTGACAGTAACAATAGGAGCTGTGCAGCCCTAATAGCCAAACACAACTGAAGTGGAGCCAAACACCTCAGTGGCTCCTTCCTAACCTCTCCCTTACCTGGAATCCTGCTGTAAACTCCCATTCACTTTTACAGGCACAGAAAAGGAAAAAACAAACCAAAACAAGAAACAGAGGTCAATGCCGACAGCCTCTGAAGTCTCCTCTCTGGCTTCCAAAGAACAACAGCCCCAGGACTCAGACCACTACCACTCAGTCCTTTGTGCCTGACTGTAGCTGCATTGTCAATTGGGAAACTATTCTTATCTCAACCTGCAGGTTTTACATTCTTTTGATTTTCCTCCCCACACCACCCTGAGGAGGGAAGGGGGGTGAGTGAGTGACTGCATGGTGCTGAGTTATCGGCTGGGTCTAAACTACAACAGGAAGAGAAAATGGATCACAAGATGGAAAGTGTGTGATGTTTCAGTCTGTGTGCAAACGAATGAGCAGACAAGGTGTGATTAATGCACTATTACAGTTGTACCTACTGAGAAGCCCAAATACACACTACAAGAAAATTCCCATTTGAAGTACGCCTTGCTCTGCAAACAAGCCAAAGAGCAATCAAGAGTGTAACGACGTTGCTGTACACAGCAAACTAGGCAAACATCACACTGACAAAGGAAGATTTACAGAAGATATCTGAAAAACAGGATTGTATTCAGCATCTGACTACTGTACAGAAGTGCTACAGTGCAGCATCTGAGTTCTTTGTAGCCCATAGCTAGCCTGCTATATTAGAAATCCTCCAAGCACACAAAGACTCCTTATATACCATCAGCATGTACAAGCCTGCAACTCTGTCACATCAGTCTTGCAGACTGGTGAAGAAGGTAGCTATGCCAAGGGAAAGTAATTTATTTCCCACCACTAAACTCTTCTTTCCAGTACCTGCTGTAACACTAACTAATTAACATTCTGCTCTTTAAAAGTCTGGCTCCCCTAGCAGCAAAACCCTAAGATGCAAAAAGAAGCTGAGTCTAGACCCTTCCTTCTACTGTCTCAGCAATTCTGAAATTTGGGAACAGGTATGTTCCCATCTGGGGATCTCATGGCAACTCATGAAGTTGTACTCCCCCTGCATTTCAAGGTTATATTACCTAACACTTAATTATGATAAGATGGACCAACTATGCCCTGCAATTAGACACCTACACCATGAAAATGGCAAATCAGATCTGAAATACACCAGGAAAAGCATTTCTAGTAAAGGGAGAAGAGTGAACAGTATGTTCTTCTATGAGTCTGAGGCCTCGCTGAATAAAGCTGAGTGCGGCCCTGGTCATCCACCTTAAAAAAAAAGAACGCAACTCAACCCTGGTTTGGTGCAAAGAGGGGCTAGTAAGATGACAAAGTGTAAGAAGAGCTTAACTTTACCAAACAACTAGAAAACTTGTCTGCTTTGGACCAGAGCAAAGATTTTTGCACTAAAATACAGCCTTGGCGTGACACGAGAGAAAAATAAACTGCTCATTAATAAATTCAAACTGGAAATCAGAAGTTAGAACATTTGCGCTCATGCCTCGGAAGCCTGGTCACTAAATGCTTGTCCTTAACAGGTCCCTCCCATTACACAATTCAGGCTTTTAGTTGTGATTATTACTTCATTAGACTTCACTTTTTTGAAGCAGTGTGTCAGCCAGAAGGATTTTTTTGGTTCTGTCTTTTGAGCAGTTCAGGGACAGAGGTTAATGTGCTTTCTAAAATATGATTCTGCTATTTATAATAATGATACTAAAGAAAAAAAAATCAAAATGGGAAATCAAAATCTTCACTTTTACATGAGGTTAGTTTACATGAGTTTAGCAGCTTTTTGATCAATAGGTCCATTTTTCAGAGGCCTTTAAAAAAAACCCAAAACGGTAATATCAAAGATGTTTGTAATAAGATTTGAAGAATACTACTTTTATTTACTTATTTGTTTATCTCCCAGTCTGGCATTTGGCTACACTATGGGGCATCTTTCTCTTGACACTGATTCTTGCCTTTCCTGGGGCCATGGCAGGATGGTAGAGGAAGGCGTATCAAACAAGAAATAAGAATCACAGCATCATGCTAGAGTGGAGGATCAGTGTACGACTGCATGCTAACAAACCGCAGGTTTAGCACACCAAAAACAATTTAATAGCCAAAGCCTTCAGAATCAAGTTGCCAAGAGTTTCAAACACACTAACAATGGGTGGCAGAGCAGCTCTTAGAACTGTAGAACAGTCACAGCGTCCCACTTAATTCCAAGAGGGGGCTTAGCATGGCCAAGAATGCCTTCCTTGTTTGTATGCTTTGCTGTCTTTGCTCCCAAGTAGGTGACATCCACAGCAGGTGGTGGAATGATGACTCCATCAAAGAAAAGGAACATACTGCAGCAACACTTAGCCTCTGTAAAGGTACTGTCCTAATTCTGGTAATGGAATCATATTAAACAACTTAGTAAACAAATGTTTGTGTTGACTGACCTACCTTGTCCCTTTCAAGTCAAGCAACTTCATCTTAATAGCTTTTCTGTTTAACACTGCTGAAATGACTAAATGTGGCTCACTGCATGCTGTGTGTACAGGAAACCTTCACATCTTTCCTATGCTGCCAGAGGAAAAAAAGGAATAAGCCCATCAGACCCTTGCTTTGACTGAGTGGTTAAAAACAAGCACAACCCCACTGCCACTGTAACAGCCAAAGACATACAGTGGGCCACATGCCTGGAGCCTTTTGCCAAATATTTCAGAATGAAGGTTGACTTGGGAGGCTTCTTTAAACATCTATGTACTGGATTACAAGAATTAGGGCTGCATACGGCAACTAACTCAACATTGAGCACCATATCTGTGCAAGTCAGGGAAGACTCACCCCAAATGCCAGGGTTGCCTCTCCTACATACTTGGGGAAACACAAGACACTTCCAAACCATGCTCTGCTGACCTTGATTGACTAAAGGCATTTCTCACAGCAGAGGAGGAACTACATCAGAAGCTTACCTAGCAGCGTTGAGGCTGCCTCCACGGCACCATTGTAGATCTCTGTGCTATGAGAAGGCAGCACCATCTCCCACAGGCCCTGAGCATAGTTGATGACCTGGAAGTAGCCGCAGGTGGATAGTGCCCACCACACAGACCAGCAAAGCATGGTCTGGGAGGAGTAGCACTGCAGGAAGTCCTGCCAGAGATCTTTGAGCACCTTTATAATGTCTACTTTCTGCTCCTGCACAGACTGGAAAAGGAAAGGGAAAGAAATGTTAGTCTTTGTTTATAAATACTTGACACTGCTCCACAAAACTGCCCCGTTCAAGTGGTCTGATCACTAGTGATCAACAGTAGTACTACTCTTGGACACAAACCCGTAATGAATAAAATGCTTTTCCATCCCATGGTCTCAGCAGCCATCCCCTTTTACACTGGGAGGAAGGGTTCAATCCCAAGCACCCCTCAATCTCCAGCCTTCTCAAGCAGAGAGCAGTAACTGCTAGATACACATGTATCTAGTACCACATGAGCAACGGAAGGGTACCGGATGGAAGAGACACGGGAGAACAGGACATGATACCCACTTGGACAAGCCAAGATCAGAAGCCAGTCATTCAAGTCACAGAGGCAAAATAACACCACTCACACTTTTAAGTCCTGATCCAAATTCAACCAAATTTGGTAACACTGAGAACATGAAAGCTACCAGATGAGTATATTTCCCCACAAATAAGTATATTTTCTTTAGTACTAGCATTCAGGGATTATAAATATCCAAAGAAGCAATCTCATTTTGTCACACTCTACCTCTGTTGATGTTCACCAAGACTTTGAGAAGGTGAGAGATGTTCCTGGGGTTTTGAAGAGAAACAGAAGCCACTTCCATGAGACACTGCTATTGCAAATGGAGCTCCTGCATACACAAGTGCTCTGACAAATGGCATGAGAGAAAAAAAAAAGCTTTCCCCTCCCAATCTTTCTAGAAAGAGCATAAAAGGGGACAGGCCCACAAACTGGTTTGAAAAAAGTTTGAAAATAGATGAGTTCTAGCAACAGGGGATGACAACAGATGAAAACTGCTTTTTACATACAGGCTGTTACAGTTGTGCTCCTAACTGCTTTGTGCAGACAGCAGCAGAGGAAACGAGCATGTATTCCCTTTATAGACAGAGCTGCTGGTTACATTTGCTGCATACACATGCAAACTGAGTCTTTGCAGGCAGGCAAAACCCTTCTTGTGTAAGTCAGAACAGTGCTTAGACTGTGCAGAGTCTCCAGGGCCCACCCAGCATCTGTCACTTGCATTCCATGCAGGGAAACATACAGCTCTGTCACAGGAATGAGCTATTGCACACTGTGCTGTTGCACATCCCGTTTTAGAGCAGTTTCTCGACAGCAGCAGTGACACCGGGCTCTCGGCACTACAGCCCTTCTCTGGGGAATCATGTGTGTGCCTGAGAAAGACTATTCTCCATGAGGAGTAAAACTGATTTTAAGTTTTCTACTAAAACCAATTTTAAGTTTTTTACGAAAACCCCCAAAGACTTACTCTGTCCAGAACTCCCTTTTCTCCACCCGTCAAAGCATCACTGACTTTCAAGCATCTTTAATAAAGACCACACAGTCCCACTGATGCTTTGCCAATGGCAAAACGCTTGCTCTGCATATGAATGCCATTCCTCCAAAGCTCAATAGAACAACGTGGGAAGAGATCATCTTGTGGCAATGTGACTTTAGCAATGGAACTCCCAAATGGAAAATTTCACATGGAGCTCAAGTTTAGGCACAGGAAAACCACAGAAGGCAACTGTCACGTACACTGCAAAACCTGATTTGGCACATTCAGCCCAAGCCATATGCCTGGTAAGCCAGGAAGGCCCATCGCCCTCCCAGCAGTGGTTGGAGTGGTGGCAGTGGTGGTTCAATTATTCATGCAGCCATTCATTTATGTTAGTGAAATATGGTTGCTGTTACCTCAGTAAGAAGGACTATCATCACACACCAGTGTTTCTCAGCTTTTAGCACCTGGTATAACTCGAGAGTTATGCAAGTGTAGCTGCTCCTGTTTTAAAGTTTTCCCCATTAGTGTGGAAACCCTATTGCTCTCACAGGATAGGAATAAGATAAACAAAAGGGATGGATAAGTTACATTAATATACCTTACTCATTATCAGCACAGAGTTTTCTTAACAAATACCCTTCATCATGCAAGTATAAACATGGTTAAACATATTTTTGCTCACACAAGTCTGTGCTGGATGGGGCAGAATTAAGTCCCTGGAATGTTAATACCTTTAATTCCAAGCTGTAGCTGGAAGAAGCTGAAAGAAGCTGAAAGAAGCTGAAAGGAGCCCCCCAGATGCTGCTTTCCCCGACCCAGCTAACGGGGGTTACCAAGTGCAGTACCCATTAGCTGATTAAACCAACAGCCACACTTAGCTCCTGGCTTGTTCTCAGAACAAGCACAACCTCCTCCTGACTGGGGAGCAAGGCTGACCTCTCCCTGAGGCCTTGAATCCCCCCTGCAGTGACAGGATCTCCATACATACCCATTACCTGGAACAGCATGGGAGGGAGGCAGAGACCTGCCCGGCAAGCAATTACCACATGCACTGGGCCTCAAAACTGGAGGTTGCTCTCCCGTCACCCTGTGGGATCCAACACGTCCTGCTACCAAACAAGGACACCTGCATGCTTGTTTTCACACAAGTGACTTTGTTAGAGGTTACACAGCCCACAGAAGCCACAAGTCGGGGCTCTCGCAGGCTGCATTAAGCTGTTATCATGTACAGGTGTCTTTATCCATATTCTGTATGTAGCTAGTCAGTGTCAGCCTCTGTGTGTTCTCAAGGACTACTGCAGTTTCCTTCCCAACCAAGTTTCCTTCCAGTATCCTAAGACAAAACCTAATTATTACACAGGTTATTGCACAACAGTTAAAGTAACAAGTGTTTTCAGAAGGGGAGTGCAGGAAGAACTGCCTCTTTTCTGCAAGTCATAGAATCACAGAGAATTTGGACACTGACACTATTTTTAGTGCCCCACATACGTCCCTTGCTTTGTACTGTTGAGTAGCAATTTGGTGCCCAGAGAATTGCAATCACAGATTTAAGACAGACAAAACAAACTTTGGAAAAACTAAGCAGCAGCCTACCACGCTCAATCAGCAAAAGGGAACAAGGAATACATCTTCCTGTGCCACAAATAAGGCACGGGATAAGCAAAGGGATACTTTTTGCTGTTGGATATTACAACTCTACTGCTGGGTACATATATGCACATATGCATGCATATATATATGGACGTCCACATGCATGAATACTGCAACGGTTCTGTATCTTCTGCTTATGTAAACGCAGGGCACAACTTGCCTGTTTCTCTACCGAATGACCTTCCCCGTTTAAGGGAACTTTAGTCTCATCCTCCCAGCCGGGTGCCCTCTGCACACTGGGATGATCTTGGACAGCCGATCCATTTTTACAGTCCATGACCTTCATTTCCCAACTGAGCTGCTGACTTGAGACATGGTGAAAGAAAAGGCTTTTCTGCGGCATTGGCAGGAACCACGCTGTGCCAAAGGCAATGGATATGCTGGTTAAGGAGATAACGTTCAAGCTGAAGAGGGACCATCCTGCCACTGACACAAGGACTTGCCCGGACACAGAGCCCACCGTGTAGCCTACCAGGGTGGCACTCCGGCAGTAGCTGGTGACCTTCTGGTACAGGTTGATATCGACGATGCTGTAGATATAGGAGTAATAGGCGATATCGGTGGCAGTCCCCATCCCGTAGAAGAACTCAAGTAACTGGATGGCCCTCAGCCCCTCTGCGTACAGCAGCATGAACCAGGTAACGATGAGGCTCAGGCCCTGCAGCAGGACCACAGGCTTGTACCGCAAGTAGTCCGTGGCCAGGAACACCGGGAACAGCAGCGCCAGGTAGGAGTAAGTCCACACCGGGTAAATCTTGTTGAACACCTGGTAGGGGGGAAAAGACGGCGGTCAGACCCTGCACCCACGTCCTGCGAGGGAAAACGCAAACACGGTGCGGAGCGCCCGCAGCCGCAGTACCTGGGTCTCGGAGAGGTTTTTGTGCGGCCTCAGCAGGTACGGGGTGAGGAAAGGCTCGGAGGGCCGCACGCTGCAGAAGAAGCCGTAGGCGCACAGCAGCCCCGTGGGCAGCGCCCAGCAGCACCCACCGCCGCCGCTGCTGGTGCTGCCTGCCCGGGCAGAGAGCCGCGCCGGCCGGCCCCCACGCGGCCCCGCCATGCCGGGCAAGGACAGGAACCGGGGACTCGGCCGGACGCGGTCCCGGGGCCAGAAGGGCCGGTGGGGGGTGTCGGCAGCGGGCCCGCCCCGGGTCACCTCCCGCCGCCAGCACCTCCCAAAAGGCACCTCCAACCCTCCCGCGACACTGCTCCGCACCATCCGCCGGCGGCACTGCGTTCTGCCCTCTGATTGGGCCACAGTGCCTCCCATCGGAAGGCCGGCCAATGGGATGCCGGGGAGGTGGGTCAGGCTGTGGCGGGATTGGAGCAGGGCCGTGCCAGGGCGGGTGGTGGTGCCCTGGAGTGTGGAGGGCTGCCGGGAGCGGGGTCCGAGCCGGGGTAGGGGCTGTGTAAAGCGTCGAGGGGCTCTCCAGGAGGGGGTCAAGGTGGCGTGTGAGTCACCAGGCACGTTCAGGACGGGCGCCGGAGGGCTAGCGTGGCACCCTGCTGTGCGCGGGGAAGGAACACGAGCGGCGTGTCAGAGCTGCAGTCGCTGCGGAGGTCCCCACGGCAGCGCACACCTCCACCTTCGAGTTCCTCACCTCGCCCTTCCCCGGGGACAGGTACAGGCCTTTCCCGAAAGCCAACTCACAAAGAGCTCCTTTGCGGGCTGCGCTGTGCTTGTTCGTCCGTTCCAGATCCAAATTCCTTGCGCTGCTGACCTCTGCTGCTTGCTTCCCTTCAGTGGGATAAGAGCTGGTTTAATACAATCTGTCCCTTGTTGCCCAGCCAGGAGAAATCTTAGATAAGAAGGGAAAATAAAACTATTACATTAAAAGTAATCTAACACTTTGCCAACCCTTCTCTATACTATTTGCTGTTTTGCTACTCGTTCTATCCCACACTTTGCACCTGATCCACGACGTTGCAACCACTGCACGAGCTTCCTTCTCTTTTCCTACAGCTTGTTCTCCATATGAGCTGATGCCACAGAAGGTTCACACCAGGGGTCAGGCCTTCCACTTGCGTGAACAGTGGCAGATCCTGCTGCCGAGCTGGGCTCAATGCTCAAGGAGACACAGCCTCCGGAAGGCATCTGGCTAATACACACTTGGGAGATCAAGAACAGGCTCCTCTCAGTCCCAGAACAGAGTCCTTCAACTGCAGAATTTTATTACAGTCTCTATCATCACAGCTTAATAAACGAAGCTACAAAGGGGATTAGGGCCATAGGATTACTCAGCTGTCTGTAGAACACAGACAAACATTTTGGTCCTGTATCAGCTGACATCAGTGGTCTGCTGCTTTCTGGCTATGTTCTGTGTCTAGCAAAATTGTCTTTCAGTTTTTCTTAGGCCGTTGCTTCTCAGCATCTCCATGTTCTTTTTTGTTTGCAGTTTTATTAGAAATAATAATACCCCCCGACAATTGCCTTTTCACCACACTTTAGCTTTGAGAAAACGAGAGTGAGCTCCTGTTAATACTTTGTCATCCACCTCAGCCATTTACAAGGAATTGATGATCTCTTAAAATAGCACAGTTAGAGTGAAATGAGCCAAAACGATGATGATAAACAAGTTGCCATGGGGAAGTGAACAGAATCACAGAGTGCCCTCTCACTTAGCTCTTAGCAGCCCCTCTGTTCTGGTGGCATGTGGCTCAGAAGCAGGTAATAAGTCTGTTGCCTGCTAGCATGAGGTACAGTGCATTGTTTTACCAATCTGGGTCATCAGTTCACACCCAGCAGAGCTAGGAGGAGAGAGTCCCCATGGCGTGCCCTGCCTAGGGGCAGCAGTTCCCACAACTGTCAGGATCTGATGCGTACCCTAACCTTACCTGCTCCTTTTCTCTCTGAAAAAAATATTGTTCAGTGGAAAAAAAGAGTAATAGAAGGTTTAAAACAAAAATAGAGGAATAGCTAAAAATTCCTACCCTTCAACTGCATTTTTTTTATAAATTCCAAATCCAAAATAACCAGCTCTTACAATTTATGTTAGCATTAAACAATGATTGGTTTCATTCCCAAACTGTGTTTGTCCATATCTAGCATCCCAGACAGGCAATGTGAAGAGTGTTTTGAAAATCACAACCTTCCACACAGGATGGAGCCACTTTCCAGAGAAAATAATTCTCTTACCAGAAAGATTCGATCAGTGTGAGTGGTTGCTGGTCTTCTGAACACTTCCACGTAAATAATATTACATGTAAATAATTATCGAATCTTTTAGGACCATAACAGTCAGTGCCCACCACAGAGGTACCCCTTGCTGTACTCGTGTGATCTGAAATGATTGATGCTGCAGCATTGATGCACTATGTGGTGGCTGCTCTTTACAGACACAACTCAGGCTTCTACATCTTCTGAATATTTCCAATGAATAACGTTTTACACAACAGCATAGCTTATACAGTAGTATTGGGCAAAACCCTTCTGTGCTGGGTTACTCCACCACTCAGGACTGCCTTCAGAGGGTATGAGTTTTCTCAAACAACCTCACCTTTGTACCTCTCAGGGCTGCTGTACACTGTAAGGCTTTCTTGCTGCAGAGGGGACATGCTGGCTGTGTTTTCCTGCTCCTCTGTTGCACAAAGGAATTCTGAAATCTACTTGTATTTGCACAGAACTCTTCAGATTTTCAGCTCAATCTCAGAAACTGGTGCTGGCACTTTGGAAGACAAGGATCATGCCAAGCCCTTCAGCAGGACACTGTTGCTGCTTTCCTTAGTACTAATGACTAAGAATCCCTTTTTGTCCAAATCTAGGGTGGAATCACCCCTAGAAGATGCTGAATTCAGCATGAGATCCAGACAACTCATCTAAATGAACACATCAGTCTTGGGGTCATTTTAAGATCACATCTTATCCATACCATAAGTTCTAATAGGTTTCACCCAACAGTGCACCAGAGGGGAGTATTGTTAACCAGTTCTGGCCTGCAGTTTATTGTGGAGGAATTTATAAAGTATATGTGCAAGAAAAGTTCTCTTAAATCATGCCAAGTTGTTTGGAGAAAGCTTCTGTAAGTTAAAAACTTTCTACACACTCAGGAAGCTGTTCTTCAGGGAGCAATGTCAGTATGTGAGAGCACTAAGATGGTACCAATATTTCAGAAACTCTCCAGAAGAAAGGAGTAGACCAGATTTCTCTTTTGCTATGCACAGGAGGAACAAAGACACATAAATGTGAGAAAAGGCAGCAACTGATTAATTTGTTTTTATGATTTTGGCCATTCTAATTAATTTTGGGAAGTAGACTATTAACTAGTATATATTAACTAGTATAGATGTTGGAATGAAACAGGAGTAGCAAGAACCAGGAAAGCCAAACTATTTCTGAAATTAAGCACGACTAGATTACAACAAAGCCTACAGATTGTAGCCATCTGTAAGAACAGAAGACTGGATACAACCTTTAAGGTCTGTGTCTTCTTGTTACCCCATGACTGATCCTTTAGTAATTTAGATACTCTGAACAGGAGACTTACAAATCTTATATAGCCATGAAGGGTTGATTTAAAAGCTCCAGCATTGATTCCTTTGTTCAGATAGTATGCCTTTATTTCCGTTACTTCCTGTTCTCCAAGTGTTTGTTAGTTCCAGACTTTGTCCAGACAGATGTTACATGTTGAGTAAATATGAGCCTGAATTCAAGTGGATAGCCCTGTCCTGCAAGCACTGAGTATGCAATTTCCTGGCATCAAGACCAATGGATCAAGGAGGAAAGAGTACAGTGTTTTCCCATATCAGGACCTCAAACAGTAATCAGTGTTTTAAAAAAAGCCTTAAGGACAACAGATTTGACTCAGCTTTTCGATTCCTTCTTCGTAATTCCTTTAAAAATCCTTTCCTTCTTCAAAAAATAAAGATGTATAAATTCTGCTAGGATATTGTTTGAATGCCGCAACTTGGCTTTTGGAGCCATTCCAGCTTTTTGAGAGCAAGAAAACTCTCAGGGGTAAGTTGTAATTTTATATTGTAGAGGTGAAGGGAGGGTCATCAGTCCTTGTCATAAATACATTGCTATAATCTATTCAAGTGTCCTTGTCCATAAGAAAAGGTCCCTTGATAAAAGAATGCAACAGCTGTTCTCTGTAGCATGGACAGAACATATTTTCTGCTTCTGTCTTACTATGCACAATCTGGAAGTCCAAGATACTTTGGTACTGTAGTTCAACACAAATTCATCTTTTTAATTTTGCTCAAACTTTATTATTTTTATCTGTAGTTCATGACTTGAACTACTACATGGCACTGCTTTAATCACCTCTACTTCCATACATGCTAGATCTTGCATTCAACAAGACTGGTAAGCCAAGTATGTCCTGAAAGCTGTGCATGGGGGAAAGAAAGCAGCATTGCAGTTTACTGGAACAGAGCTAACAGAGGAGCCAGAGTAAAATCCAAGCTAAGAACTGCAGAGACCTTATGACAAAGAGAAGCCATCTCTCCAAAGTATGGGAGTCCCTAGGAGGCAGGTTGCTGTTGAAAGCCTCTGGCAGAGAACTTCCCTTACGCCCTGCACACCATGGCAGGCTCTGCATTTGGCACAATGCAGGCAGAAGCACACAGCTGCTGGAAATAAGGCATTTGTGGAATGACTTGCCACAGGGTATCAGATTAACTCTTGGTCTAAGATGGATCACATTGTAGAGCACTATACATTTCCATTAGGAACATAGCATTTTCAAAAGATTTTGCAGTCAGCTACATGGGAAGAAATGGAAAAGTCACTTAAGTCTGCAACAGATAGGGACTCTTGGACAAATTTTAATGGGAAGTGCATAACAGAGTACAATAGTGGTGTTACAAAGAAAAGCAAGCAGTGGATCAAGTAGACCTAGAAGAAACATATCACTTATTTTTATTAAATGAGAAGCACATAGGTTATTCTGAATTACTTGGGATGGTGTAACAGATGTGCCCATGATCCCTGAGAACGATTCCATGGCCTGTTTAGGAGAGGGCTGTACAAACATTCAAGAAGGTGAAGTCGCTACCTGGAAGAGATTATTGTAATTATGCATGATGCACATACTGAGTGTAACAAATGGAGAATGGGGCACAGTA